CACTTAGAGCATTATTGGAGTTGGAGGTATTGAGAAAATAAATTTGCAAAAAATTACAAGCACCATAAAAAACCAAACGTAATCAAAACAAATGCCAGACTTTCATGGTACATAGATGAAATATATTAATTATAATATGAAACTATTGAGTTTGAAACTGTCTGTGAGACACACATTTTCTGCAGACTTTCCTCTAGCCAAGAAATCTTAATTCCACGTTGCAAAGTTTTGAAAACTATTAATATTCCACACATTATAATGGAGAGCACTTCTCACCACCATCTATACTGAGACATATATTTATTAAGTGCTGACAGTTAACTTTCACAAGACTCTCAGGGAGATCTGGTCCTTATTCTGTGAATTTACGAAAACTGGGCTGAAGGAGCCAGGAAACACAACTGTATTTTATTATTATTTAAATAATGAATTTGTGATAGCATTTTACTCTGAAGCAATGGTAAGCCTTGCAGGCAAATGTCTCCTTCACTAAAGGTTTGAAAATTATTTTTGTTTAAATAACAGCTGGTCTTGCCTGTATGGACTCAAATGAGCCATGCGGAGACAAACTTTTTTCAGTTTGGGTAAGAAAGATTAAAACCCATTAATTCTAGTTAATATCCATTTCGGTCCCTCCACACAGATGGGGAAAATAATATTAAATTACCATTCTTACATACAGTCAATACCAGACACCCAATAAAGCACAAATTCAAAGCCCTGCTCATAACACAACCAATGCACACAGTTCCAGCAGAACAGCTCAGCTGCAAGTTAGCCTGAAACAAAGGAGATTTACACCCATTTCTCCACTTTGCCACAGACTTCCTGAATGACTTTGGACAAGTCACTTGGGTTTTGTGTTCTGCAACTCTCCATCCCTAAAATGGGGAAAAACATTTTATTTCATAACCTCACAGCAATAAGCAGATTTACTATCAGGAGATGCTTAGATACAGAGATCAAATAAATGACACAATGAGAATAAACGGCACTTAAAGCTTTAATTAACTTCTGGTAAAGCTTTGGAAACTTCATCACAGTGACAGAAGGAAAGCTTTGGCACAATACCCACAAGCGTTATCTACAAACAAAGATCAGGTCTGCCTACATAAAAAGATGGAACCGTATTTTGACATCTGCAGACAGTCGCGGACGCAGGCTTCCATGACCCAAAGGAAAGACACGATGTACTCTGTCACCAACATATACAGAAGACCAAAAGTCGAAAGTCTCTAGATACCTTCTTTGAGTTCTAAAACAGGAGTTTTAACTTTCTGACATAATACAAAGTAGAAGAAGAAATCACTGGGTACTCTCTTAAAAGATTTAGAACACTTCAGGTCCAAACAGTTATTCTCCAATTCATATTAACCACTAACCACCTTTTGAACTTGAAAGCCACATTTAACTTTCATAACTCAGTATTAGTATCGTAAGTCAAATCATCTTGCAGGCAACAGAATTAAAGACCTCTAGAGCACCGGCCTACTGAAAATGACAGGCGTAAGGACCATTCAGAAGTAGCCAAACGCCGCTCACACACTCCACTAGGACACTTAGGAGGACAGCACTACCTCCACCAGGAACCCACAAATTTGTGACATGTATTAAATACATCTTTTTAGAAAATGTCTTCAAGTCCAAAAATCTATTTTTTGAATGCAGGCCAAACACAGACTGTGTTTCCATGCACATATCCGGCATCTCTGTACAAGTAACTGTACTAGCCTGCATAAAATCAAAGTCATAGCCTGGGGACAGAGACATGAGGGGCAAATGGACTACAAGAGACAACGAAGCAGTCAATGAGAGATGAGCACAGAATTTGGGGGACAGAAGCAAGTATGGAAAACCAGAAGCAAGGAAACTACTGAGGGGAGAGGAAGTTCTGGGATAAACTTCCCCTCATATTAGCCACATATGTGTAAAACCCACACAGCTACTCAATCACAGGGCGCTGAGTGTGCTTGGGGTTTGAGGGTTTTTGTGTGTGTGTGTGTTTTTGTTTTTTTTTAAACAGATGATCTGTGGGTAACACATGAAAATAGGGTCACTGCAAGCTACAAAAATAAAATGAAGCTCATTCGTTTTTAAGCTATTTCGTTTGAAATATCAAATGGTTTTCATTATTTGTAATTGCATCTTATATGTGGTGTTTTATAAGAAGAAAAATAAAACAGTTATTACTAAAAATCATTTATAACATAAAGCTTTTTCTTTTAATATGCAGAGCTGCTCTGGGATGTGTTAAATATCTTGAACTCCCAGAACAGCAGTTTGCAACAAGGCCAAAAATTAAAGCATGGCCAACAAAGAACTGTTATCAAACACTGGGCACAACACAGAACTGGGGAAAATACAAAGATGGTGGTAAAGGGTGTAAGAACAAACGTCCTGTAGAAAAAAAGAATATGACATTTCCAACGTAACATAGGATACAGTTTCAGACACACATTTTCAAATGTGACTTCTTAGACTTCGGGACCCCTAAAGTTGAAGCAGAATAGGTAGTACCTGGTATTGTACATAGCTCCCTGAATATGTAAGTTTTGAGATTGCAGGAGAGAGTGAAATGCCTAAAAGGAGAGGACTGCCCTCCCCTCCAGTGACACCTGAAAAAAGTCAGAGAGATGAGGGCTGGAGGTCAGTGGAAAGGTGAGGATAAGCAAACTCATGAAGGCAGGAAATTGAAACTAAGTTCTGGAACTATGTATTTAATGCCTCCCTCGCAGCGTGCCAATAATGTTCATACGTAGGGAGGAAAAAAAAAAAAAAAAAAAAAAAGGAAAGCAGTGACACTGCAGCAGTCTTCCCCAGAGTAAATTTTGGCAACCTTAAACATCACGCAGCAACCAGAGCCTCTCACTTGCTTAATCTCCTCACACTCACAAATTGACTATTTCCATTTTTTTTATCCACAAGAGGCAAACTTCCCCTGTAGCTGTGACAGCCCAAACTCGTCTCACTGTTGTGGCAATCGGCACCTGTCTACCCTTTTACAAACCAGATGCTACAGAAGCAAACTTCCAGTGCTTGACTGTGCAAGTGGAACCTCGTTAGCTACAAGCAGAGCTGCTCTCCTTCACTCTCAGCACTACCTTCACTGGAGTAGGATGACTTCACCCCAAGATGAGCAATACCAAAACTCCTTTGGTCACATACACACAAACTCCTTCATTCACATTTTCCTACCTATCAACATATTAAGAGACAGTAACAATTACACCAGTTTCATGTATTATTTGCAAGAGTCACCAGCCTTCACTGTTACTCATTTGAAGGCCAGAAGGAATGCAGAAGACTTGTAATCACATTATGGGCAAAGATTAATTATCACTACTTGTACTATGAACTAATTTTTACCATTAGAAATATTTATAAAGGCTGAAACAACACAAACTTACTATATGGGCCTTGAAATGCATTATCCTCAGTGGTCTATGTAATTAAAAAAAAAAAAATCAAAACCATAGTCTGTCTTGACAGGTAGTCTGCTAGTTCATCTTTATCTGTGAACGATGCTAACTGAAACAAGTACAAATTAGAGTTCTAATATTATTTACACAAACCTTCAGATGAAACCTGCAACCTGACATACTCATATACTATCACAACTTTTGGATATATTTGCAAAGTTCAGACTGCAGTCCCAGCACATTCATCATGCAGACTCAGTTATCTGGAGAGCAAGCCACAGTACCTTTCTGAGCTGTGCTCTTTCCCATGAAAATCAGGTTATAGTGGGAGGAGGAGGGGAAAACATGTGGATTTCATCTTGACACACAGCCAGGATGCAGAAAGGACAGGCACCTCCAGCCCAAGAGCTGGAAGGTCTTGTAATATTCAGGTAGTCATTACTGTCACTAAAACAATATTGTCACAGCTAAAGCCTTCCAAACAGCACAAAAATCTTAGTATCAACCTAGACCTCTACTCACATGCCTCATTCCATCCCTCCTTTCAAATTATGATCCTTGGGACTGGTACTGAAAGAGCGGCTCTGGACCACCTCTTGTGCTAATGCCTCCCTGCAGACTAACAGCGGCGAAAAGCTTCACGTGCATTTGTGGGTGGCAACTCAACATGAAAAAGACCAACTTAAATACTTATTTATAAAAAGAATTTTCTTCAATTTCTGCTAATACCAACATCGAAAGGCCTCAAATCTCAGCCACAGCAAGAAGACAGCAACAGAATTGTGCTTTGGCTACTACAGCAAACACAAACCAGATCAAAAGCCACTTTCCTCTCAAATGAACAAGCATAACCAAAGATGTTACACTACTACTGTGTCCTCCCCAAATGCAAAGAGACTCGGGCCACCATGCAATGAACCAAATCAACCTGCTAGGTGTTTCAAACAAACAGTACCAGTTTCTAAAACATACTTAAAAACAAGCTGCTCTATAAAGAGCAACAGAATATCCCTGCCTTTTATTTCATCAGCTAACGTGTGTGCTCTTGTAGGGCACCCACTGAGTAATGAATTCTCGCTTCTCTTCCACTGTAAGTTAGTGTTCACAACAGAACTCTCAGCTAAAAAACTCATAGCATTTTACTATTCTCTGCTTCTTTGGCAGGACTCTTATTTATATAAGATTAGTGCAGTCAGGCATTAGATTTATAAACCAGAAAAAACAAACAAGGAGAAAGTTTTCACACTCTTCTTCATAGGCCAGTTTTGGAAACATACACACAAAGCAGCATAACAGATTGAAATGCAATTGTTAAAAAAAACCTCAAACAAAACCAAAACAACCCCCAAACACAAACAGAAAACTCATATCAAAACATATATAATTTCTGGAGGCCCCCCCACCTGGAAACTATTTAATGTCATCCAAGCATTCACAACAGTACTGTCAGCCACCTAAACAGCCATTCCTCTGCTCTATCCAGAGCCTCTGAGGACAGTCACAACACACAGAGGCACACTTCAGGCACACTTCAGCCCCTCACCTTCCCCCACCCTCCTCAGGTAAGGAATAGGCACCAACCTGCAGTTGGGAGGTGGATCTAAGGTGATGTCAGCCAATTCCTTCTGAATCCTGTGGCAATAAAAGCAAGGGGGAACAAAGGTAAGCGGCTGTGTGGGATAGCAGTTAACACATATGCCTTACAGACATACTGTCACCACGAGTTTGCAACACTACATAAGAGAGGGGCATGCGCAGCTGCAGCCTCCCACCAGTCCAAACACACCGGGCAGGACAGGCGCCCTGTACAGAGACAGGCAGAAAAGCAGACAGGCACCGTGCACCAAACCCAGACAGGTGCGCTGTTGTATGCTCCCATACAGAAGCCAGCCACGATGGGGAAGTGGAAAGGACTGTCTGCTTTACTCTGCCAACCAGCCTGCAAATGAGGGAAACCCTCTGCAAATGTGATGCACCAAGTGCTAGGAGGAAACCAGTCTGAAAAGGAATTTTGTCTTGCTGGACTGAGACAAACAGTCATTGCCAAATTGGCTCCCTCTGTCTTCCCCCAAGCCTCCCACCATCATCCTGAAAAAAAACACCAGCCCCAAGGGAGTGCATAACTGCACCATTCCCAAGGACACTTAAAGGAAAATGAATATCTATTTCCGAGGCTCCTGCACATTCCTGTCACCTTCAATTCTCCCCTCTGTTCACCCTCAAGAGCCATACAACATCCCCACGTTCCCTCCCTCAGGACTCCAGACACTCCCTCTCTTCACTGCGCTCAGACAACACCCTGTCTTCCCTGCCCAGACTATTCTGGGCTCACGCTGGTTTTGCCACAAAACGCCCAACCAGCTATCATCCCCTTCCCTGGAGTCCCATTACTGTCACTCAGGCTTTCCCTCCAGATTTCCCCACCCAGCACTCAGTCTGCCTCACTTCTCCTTTAAACTCAGCCAGCATCTTCTGCCTATCTTCCACTTGTCACACATGAGAACCACAGCCTTTTCATATTAGGCAATTTACAATCTCCTTTTTAAAACAGTTAAGGGCACGACACGTAAACACCGCTTGCCACTGTGTATGTCAGTTTGCCATGGAAACCTGCTGAGTGGAGATCTGGAATAACCAAACTGCTTAAATTCTGCAAAGCCACAGAGAACTTAGTTAAGACGACAGGGTATTTGCATAAAACCCCAGTCACTTTTGACACCCACAGATACAACTTCTCTGTGCTGCTTGGCAAAGCTCTTCAGTGAGGTGGTCTATTATTCTTACTGAAGTACTGCAAGTTTGCTTGAAAACTTCCATTTGTCACCTTAGCTCCCCGGAGCACGATGGTGTGAATTCAGGTGAAACACAGAATAAATAAGAAAGGGTAACAATTTGTTGATTTTTAATTTTTTTAAATGAGTGCCTCCAGGAGTTTGTCCAGGTGAAAAAAACTGACTGACATAGCTGTTCTGGAATTACAATTCTATGCAGGCACTCTCTCCCATGTAGACGTTCTTCTAGAATAAAAACGATTTCATTCTCAAAAAAAAACCCAACCCACTCTGTGCTGTGAGCAAAGACTATTTTAGAGCAGAACGTCCACAAGTGGACCTGCTGTGGATTATTTATTCTAGTCAACATCCAGCCATACACAGAAAATTCAATATAAGTGATGAGCAGACAGAAAAACAGTAATATATTTGGTGGAAAAGATTTGGGGCTATATCACACCACTTGCACTGGAGTGTACTCCCCCAGCGCAACCAAACTCAAAACTCTTTAGAAACGTTAATTAATCCCCAAAGCAGACCTGGAAAGAAAAAAGCCAGTCTAGATCAATCCTAACCTACAGAGGGAAACTGACATTGAGGACCACATAGCTTCCAGTAGCAGGGGAGGAATTAAGGTCCTACATGGCAATCCTACACCATCCCTATAACTGATGCTAACAAGAAAAAAGGAAAAGACAACGGAAATAATTAAGGGACAGAATAACAGCCCAGAGGAAAAGACAGGAAAATATCTGGGATGGAACAGGGGAAGAAGCAGGAAGAGAGACCAGACAGCTGTGGAGCTGGGCACTCACTGCACCGAGATGCTTTGAAAAAAGTGAGACAATGGCAGCTTCGTGTGGGAAGGTTGAGCATAAGGGCTAGAAATTAGGAATGGGAGCAGCAAGAAAGCAGTGCGGGAATGGAGCAAAATAAAATGAGAAAGGAAAGAATCAGTGAGAAAACTGACTGCAGACTCACCTCTTGGCACTGGTAGATAGCAGCTTAGAGTTTTTACTCATGCTGACTTTGCTTTCCTTCTTCTTAGGTGTGCTTGTCTCCTTCTCTGTCTGTTGGTTGGAGGATGAAGATGAGGAGGAGCTGGTGCTGGCCCTCGAATCGTCATCCGACATAGCGACCCCCCCACCACACACCCCAACCTGGAGAGGAGACACCATGGGGCGTGGGGAACAAACAGTGAACACACACAGAGAAAGGCTGCTGACAATCTCGCTCTGTGTTTGGATCATGCTCCTTTTAAAGGGTCCTCGTGTCTCCCTCTCCTCTTTGGGCCCTACAGTCAAAGCAGGAGAAGCAGTAGTCTCCCCTGCACTAGTAACACCGAGGAGCAGGGGAAAAGGGACTTTTAAAGCTTCCTCTCAGAAAGCAAGTGCGAAATGAGAGAAAAGACTGGAACGAGGATGACTGCGAAGATCAGGGAAGCTCAAAGCAATTCCTTCTTATCTCCCCCAAAACTGCACACACAAGACGAGCCATCACCACCCACCGCTATCCAGCCTAGGGGTGTAGGAGATAAAAATGGAACAGCTCCGGTCCCTTGGGTTCCTGGGAGGCACGTGGGGGAGGTGGGAAGGGATGGGGCTGGGGGGGTGACCACCACCAGCACTAAAATGGAAGTGGGGCATCACTGGCAACAGGAGTGAGACCCTGAAGAAGGATCTGTGACCTGCGGTGGGGAAACCCCTGCCTGCTGGATCAGGTGTTGGGAGCAGGGGAGGCAGGGAGGGGGGAATGAAGTGGAACAGCTAAGCAGGGAGTGGGGTGCTGGAGGGGACCCACCAACACCCACTACACCGAGGGGCATGCCAGAAAAGGGGGAAGGGAACAGAAGGTCTGTGCTGGGGGGTGCCGGGGCAGGGGGGAGAAGAAAAGAAGGGCCAGGGCCTACAAGGGGTGAGAGCGGAGGGCCTGGGGAGCCTGGTGGCACG